GACGCTAGGTGCGCCACTCCTCTCGCATCTCGCCTCCTCTGCTCTGCACTGCTTCTTGCCTTTTACCATACCCCCCAGCTCCTCGCCATGCCGCACTGGCCCTGCGGTCCCATTCCTCTATCCCTGCCCATCCAGATGCTGAGGTAGCACACATTACCGGTCCAGAAGCTGCCGCCGCTGGGTCGCTTGCATCCTTTCCAGCTACTTTCCTCATTGCTAAATTCGGTCACCTCATCTCCCTACTCTCCCTGTTCGGTCGGCGCACCTCGGAGCTGTCTGGATGTGTGATGGTGGTGGTGTGTGTGCAGCGCGTGATTCATGCGTTCATGCTTCCTCACCTCATCGGCTTGCTGCTATCCGCTCGCCTCACCTCGCACTTTCTGGTGGGCGCCGGTGCTGGCGTCCAGTACGCCATTCCGCCCCATGTTGTCAGGGCGGCACTTCATCCTGGAGCCCATTTGCCCAATTCATGGGGCGAATTCCCAGCGTGCAACCCCATGAATTGGGCGAATAGGCTCCAGGATGAAAAGCCACCCTGACAACATGGCGTGGAATGGCGTACTAGACGCTGGCACCGGCGCCCACTAGAAAGTGCGAGGTGAGGCGAGCGAGCAACAGCAGGCGGAGGAGGCGAGGAAGCATGAGCGCATGGATCACGCGTTGCATTCACATCACCACCACACATCCAGACAGCTCTGGGTGCGCCGGCCGAATAAGGAGAGCAGGGAGACGAGGTAACCGAATTTAGGAGTGAGGAAAGCAGCTGGAAGGGATGCAAGCGACTAGACATGAGCAAAACCGGGTAATTACCCGACCCGACCCGGTTTTGCCCTACCCGCAATCGGGTCCGGGTCGGGTCGGGTCGGGTAATTTCCGGGTAATGTTTGGAGGTCTGTTACCCGACCCGACATTTTAATACCGGGTAATTGGGTACCCGTCTGTCGGGTCGGGTATACCCGACCCACATTTAATTGAAGTCGGGTAATATTACCCGCGTACCCCTAGGTGGCTGTAAAATTCAGCAAACCCAGAGTAACAAACCCAAAGTCGGGTCGGGTACCCGCGACCCGACGGGTAATAAATTACCCGACATTTCGGGTAATTCTCGGGTAACGGGTATGCATTACCCGGCCTGAGTACCCGACCCGACCCGGCCGGGTAATTCGTCAAAATCCTATTACCCGGCCCGGCCAAAATGTCAGGTCGGGTCAAGTACCCGCGACCCGACCGGGTAAAATGCTGAAGTCTACAAGCGACCCAGCAGCGGCAGCTTCTGAACCGGTCATGTGTGCCGCCTCAGCGTCTAGATGGGCAGGGATGGAGGAATGGGGCCACAGGGACAGTGCGGCATAGCGAGGAGCTAGGGGGGTATGGTAAAAGGCAAGGGGCAGCGCAGAGCAGAGGAGGCGAGATGCGAGAGGAGCGGCGCACCTAGCGTCGTCCATGTGGTCGTCACCCCAAGCACCTGTTGGTGGGATGCCGCACATGGTGCAACAGGGAGGAGCAGCTGGGGAGCAGCCAGAGAGAGCATGGCGAGTTTGAGTGTGCTTGGGCCCATTGAGAAAGAACGGAAGGGGCTAAGGGAGTGCGGATGGGGAACGGGAGGTAGAATTGGATGATGCCAGGGCAGGGCGTTGAGCACATTCTTCCCAGGCCAGAAGTTCCCCACCCTCCCATGGCGGCTCATGCACTAGTTAACACCCCGTCCGCCTGATCGGAGAGGGGTGCACCGTGTCGATTCAAGGCTATGCTTCATTTAGTCCAGGTGAACTCGGGTCAAGATTATGTGGTAATTGTTGGTCATCTCGAGTCAACCCACCTGGTCAAGGTCAACTGTGGCGATTACCACCTCCACGTCAACCACTGAGAACTGGGCTCCCTGCGCCACGACCTGCCCGTTGACCACCACCATCGCACAGCCGTCTGGTTGAGGGAATAGTGAGGGTTGGGCGGAGAGAAGGATAGACAGGGGGCAAGGGTTGCGTCACTAGGCACTAAACTTCACATCGCTCCCTGCGCCACCACATGCCCGTTCATTGCCACCATGGCACATCGGTCTGGTTGGGGAGGGGGTGGCGGTAGAAGGAGCGAATTGAGAGGGATAGCAAGAGATGGGGGTCAGTAGGGTGCCTCGCAACACTCCCTACGCCACCACCTGCCCGTTTCCCCCACCATGGCACATCCGTCCACCTGAAGCAACCAAGGGATGCATGGAAGATGAGGGGGTCAAGGTGCATGTAATCTGATGTGCTTCGCAACTCTCCCTGCGCCACCATCCGCCCAACACCATGGCCCAGCCGTCTGATGCAACAAAGGGGAGCAAGATCGGGTGGAAGAGGAGGAAAGAAGGAAACGATGTTTGCCCTCCATGGAACCTCATGACACCCCCCCTGCACCACCATGTGCCCGTAGACCACCACCATGGCACAGCCGTCTGATGGGGGGTGTCACGAAAGGAGGTGCCCCACAGCACTCCCTGCCTGCCCCATCACCTGCACACCCTCAGACAGCCGACACACCCACCGTAGTACAGCCGTCCACCGTCGCACCCCTTCTGGTTGGCGTACAGATACACTCCCCCCGCTTTGCTTGTTGCGGACTGGATGAGGCTCACGCGTGTGCCCAGCTTCCTCAGCTCGTGGTGGCTGCCGCTGCCGTTGCCCACCACCTCGGCCCCGGCCAGTGCGAGACGGATGTGAGGGGCGAGGGGGGTGAAGAGCTCCTCGCATGTCTCACTGGCCAGCGTGCTGTTGAGGGAGGAAACGGGGGTCGAAACAGACAGACAGAAGGCAGTGAAGGGATAGTGGCTACCACTGCCGTAGCCCACCACCTCTACTCGGGCCATGCGAATGTGCTGCGCTCGAGGGGTGACGACCTCCTCACTTGCCTCGCTGGCGATGGTGCTGGGAGGAATACAACACGTGAGATAGAGATCAGGATACCAGGACGAGCGGGCTGGTGATATCCGTTTCCCCGCCACATATACCACTGCTAGAGCCCGGCAGATGTGAGGCGAAAGAGGGGTGAAGTGGTCCTCACAAGGTCCACTATTTATGGCGATAGCAGGGATGCAAGGAGCAAGGGAGGTGAGCAGGTGCAACTAGGACGGAAAGGCGGGGCAGGAGAGAATAGAATGGCTGATAGATGCAACACCAGAGGAATCAACCGTCCAGATATAATATCACCTGTCCAGTAGATCCAGCACGCCATCACCAATAGGCGCCTCTCTCTGCCCCTCACACGCTGCCGTAACCACCGGTGGTAACCGTGCGCTCTCCACTGCCCCCGGACGCTTCCACGTGGCGAACCAGCGCGTCTCGCGGTAGTTGCCGTCGTTCGCCAGGTCCATCTTGGGCCGCAGCAGCACGATCCGACGGCCGTGGACGAACGCGCGGCAGTTGTAGCGCACGCCCCGGTGCTCCACTGGTAGGCCGATGTCGCACAGGATGCCGTCTGTAGCGCCGCTGGTGATGATTGCAGCCAAGCACTCCCAGCTGATTGGGGGGGAGAGTGAGGGTTGGGGGAGAGCGGAGGGGAGATGGAAAGGCGGATCGCAAAGGATGTTGTGGGTGGCGGCGTGGCGCCGCTGGTGGTTATGGCGGCTAGGCGCTCCCAGATGGTGTGGGGGGAGGAGGGTCCAAGGGGACGGGGCGGAGAGAGGGGAGTGGACGAGACGGGTGGACGATTGAAGGGAGAGACGTGAGAGGCGAAGGGAACGAGGAGAGAGGAAGCGGAGTGGAACGGTTGGGGGGAAGAGATGGGAGGAGAAGAGGGGGGGTGGGGGGATGAGCAAAGCGTGAAGCCATGGGATAAGGGGAGTCGAGCGAGTTGGGAGTATGGGGGGCGGGGAAAGGGATACTGCGCTGGGCGCAACGCGGAGGGCATTGTGGCGGCGCTGGAAGGGGAAGGCGCGCAACGCGGGAAGGTGGCGGGACGGCAGGGGCAGCAGCAGACGAGCGGGGGTCGGAATGAGCGGCCGTATTCCGGAAGAGAGAGGGGAAGGGAAGCGAGTTTATATCAGAGTCCAGACTGTGGCGTACGCGTGCTGGCACGTGTCGTGCTCGAGGAAGTGGTCCTCGCATCCGTAGCCCGTGATCTCCAACTCGGGGCCGATTCGGTACGACGCGCCTCGAGCCTTCGCCTCGCGAATAGACGCGATGATTCGATTTGTGTTTCCCTCGAAATCCATCGCCCACTGGTTTAGCGCGCACGTGGCGAACGTCGCGAGGCGCATGGTGGCGAGCTGGCGAAGGATGAGACTGGTTTCTCTACAACGTTCCTTCTGACTGGCGCACAGCTGCCGCGCCTCGTGCTGTTTGGCTGTCTCACCCTCGCCTGGCGAGCACAGAGCCTGCTAGAAACTAGTAGTGACCTTGCCTCCTAATGCCCGAAATTCTGCGTGGAGCTGAAATTCTAATCATTTCCGCGTTACTGTTTGGCTCGTCAACCTGTGTGTTCCGATGTACATACAATTACTCGCCTCGTTATACACTCCCTTTGCCACACCCCGTTTTGTGGTTGCCGAAATATTTGTGCCAATGAGGAAGCCATCCTTGAAGGTGCTTGTATTCTCCTTTTCAACCCCGCTATTGTCTGAAGGCTTCATGATTGGCTTTCAGTTTGCGATTCGCTCGATAATGGCATGGCGAGTCGGATTTCATTAAAGGCGGCTCGCGTTCGCGCTTCGAGTTTGGCTTGGCAAGGTGCCCAAATTTACAAAAACATTTTCCGAGTCCTCATGTACAGTACTTGTATTAATCGGTTGCCGAGCCAGTAGCTCAAACTTCCATCAATACTACAAGTCATTTCTGAAAAGGTTTTTCAGGAAAGGGGTTCCTTCTTATATGTCGAACTCAGGGTAGCTGCCCATAAAACAATCAGCCCTCCACATCTCCACACAGCCACATCGCTTGATGTGCTGTAGGAATCCCCTTCCCCCCACCCATCCCAAACTCCATTGAAGGTGTTGCCACGGGCGACAAGGCCAAATTCTCTTGAATCCATCAACACTGGCGCCCGAATTTGAGATTCCAGCCTGAGCCAGCAAGCATTATCTCGTTCGTCTAGCACGACCAATTCCCAGCAACAACCCGCAGCGGCCCCATTCCACTCAGAACGAGCTTTACAGCGGAAAAGGAAGCTGCTTTGCGGAAATGGATGAAATTGTGGGGAGGATTGAGTTAGAGGACCCCGACGGCGGAGGAAACACGACCAGTAACATGTCGTTGGCAGGGCAAGATGAAACAGTGGAAGTCTTGACTTCAGCTGCGGACTCCCAGAATTCGATGGAGTCCCTCGAGACGGACAATACGGAACAAGAGTCCCAAACGGAGACTGAAAACGCGATGACAACAACCGACAAGGCAAGTGACCTGAAGGCGCTATCTGCTGGCGACTCCGACGGCAACGCGGTAGTTTCTGAGCCTGCTAGTGCGGAGGAAGATTCAGCGGGCGACGCGCGAACTGCTGGCGAGACAAGCGACGGGATGAGCACGGAAGGTCACTCGAACACGGAGGCCTTGATAGCCGGCTCACGGGAGCTTGAGCCCGGCCATGGAGGGCGGCAGGAGGAGAGCCAAGCGGAGAGTGAAGCGTCGCAGGCTGCAGTCGCTCGCGAGGCGACAGACCCTTCGCATGAAAGTGGCAGCGTCGCAGAGGTCGGGGAGACGGGCGGCGCGCAGAGTGATGACGTGGGGTCTGGTGCGAAGGAGGGGACTAGCGACGCGGCGGATGAGGAGAGGAGCAGTGGCCGGGCGGAGGAGGAAGGCGCTGACGGCGCTGAGCACGCGTGCAAGGTGGGAAACGCTGCCGAGGAAGCGCGCGCGTCGAATTTCGATAGTGCGAATGGTGCTGTAGCTGAGGATGTGACGAATCTGAGCGACGCGACAGCTGAGGATGCGACGAATTTGAGCGACGCAGCAGCTGAGGATGCGACGGATCTGAGCGACGCAGCAGCTGAGGATGCGACGAATCTGAGCGACGCAGCGGTCCAGCCAGGCACCTGCCAGGAGCCAGCAAACGCAGCAGCAAGCACGGAAGACGCAAGCGCAGCTGATGCCGATGCCAACGCAGGCGAACAGGCCGTGGCCGAGGCCGATGAGGAACCCGCAACCAGTGAAAAGCCACTGGCAGCCATCGCGGCAGTCGACGAGGCGGCCGCTGTGGGTGAAGGCGCGGGCGCAAGTGCTGCCGGCTCCGCGGGTGAGGGCGCTCCTGCCGCTGCTTGCGCGGAGGCGGAGGGCCCAGTGTACGAGTCCGCGCAGGGCGACGGGGCTGCGAGTGACGCGACGACGGCTGTCGCGGTGGAGGCGCGTGCAGCAAGTGAGGGGGTCGCCGGCGACAAGGAGGAGGAGTCGGGAGAAGAGCAGGCGAGTGGTGCGGCGACTGAGGTGGCGACAGACACGTCTGATGCGGCGCCAGTCACGGCGGCCGAGGCGGTGAGCTCAGCGGAAGGCGAGGAGGCGGAGGTGAGAGAGGGTGGGGTGAGTGAAAGTGGGGAGGCCGAAAGTGCGGCGAGGGAGGGCGGGGTCATGGAGATGGGCGAGAGCGCTGATGCCCGTGCGGGCACGGGCGAGGTCGCAGGGCGTGTGGGGCATGAGAAGAGTGCAATAGCGGGGGATGTGGATATCGGGGTAGTTCATAGCGAGGAGACGGAGGGACTTGCGGGGATTGATGGGGATGAGAAGAGTGGGGAGGCGGAGAGAGAGAGGAGCAAGGAGGCAGAAGAGGCAGAGGGAGGGGAGGTGACGCGTGGGGAGGTAGCGGGGGAAATGGCGGTGACTGAGGGCGATGCGAATGGGGAGAAGGAAGGGGGGGAGGCGGGTTCAGGTGAGGGGGTGGCGGGGGAGGGCGTGAGCGAGGGGGGAGGAGGGAACGGCGCGCTGTGCGAGGGGGCAGAGAGCGGAGAGGCCGAGGCAGCCGGCGACAAGGGTGAAGCTCTGGAGGCGGAAGGGGCGGAAGGCGCAGACGGAAGAGTGGCGGCAAGCGGGGAGATTGCAGAAGAGGCGGAAGGGGCGGAAGATGCAAAGATCAGCGCAGCAGAGGGCGAGTGCCGCGCAGAGCGGATGGATGACGATGGGGGGCAGGGAGAGGCGAGCGGCGCTGTGGAGGAGAGAGCTGAGGCGCAGCAGGCGCAGGAGGCGGAGGAGGCGGAGGAGGCGGAGGAGGCGGATGTTGGCAGCGCGGCGAGCGAGGGGTCGGTGGAGGAGTTGCGGCTGCTGGCGGACGTGCTGGCGCTCATGGACTCGGACGACTCGGGGTCCTCTCATGGCTCCAATCGCTCCTCGGCTGCCTCCTCCGATGGCGACTCTGCATCGGACGGTCCCGCGCCTCTTGCTGATGTGGCGAAACACGAGGTAAGCAGTCTATTGGTGGGCCGATTTGCACGATTGCAGTGGTATCCAGACAGCAAGTTTTTTCTCGGACGGAGGATTTTGTAATCCTTAGGCGATGTCGACCATGCTTGCCTTGGCAGGATGGTGAGCCCGCTGGAGCCGCGGCGCAGGTGAATGCTCAGGTGGAAGAAGCAATGAAAGTACACGTGGCGACGATCGAAGCGAAGGCTGCCGCCACCATTGCCGCTGCCGTTGAGAGCCGCGTCGCTGCCGGTTTGAAGGAGCTGACCGCTGAGCTGGAAGCCAAGCTGGCCGGGCAGCTGGAAGAACGCGTAGCAGCCCGGATTGAAGAAAAGATGAACGCACGCATGGAAGAGCGGCTGGCTGCTGACGTGGCGACGCAGGTTTCGGTGCGACTGGCGGAGATGGAGGCGGAATGGAAGGAACGGGCAGCTGGGGGAGGGTGGCAGGGGGGAGCGGAGCACCAGCACGCGCAGGGGCAGGCGCAAGGCGCGGGGAAGGTTCCCGCGCAGGGGCAGCAGGGGCAGGCGGGATGGCAGAAGTGGATGCTGTGGGGCGCGCGGGAGGACGACATGCGTAAGCAGGCGGACGAGGAGCGGCGGAAGGAGATGGCGCGCGTGAGGGAGCAGCTGGAGGAGCAGTGGGGCGCGGAGATCCACAAGCTGCAGGCGCTCATGCAGGCGGAACGCGCCATCTCCGCGGAGCGCCTGCAGGCGCTGGAGCGGCGCTGGCAGCGCAGGGAGGCGGAGCTGGCGGAGGAGATCCGCGCGGTGCAGGAGGTGGCGGTGATGAAGGTGGCGGCGGTGGAGGAGCGGTGGGGCGCGAAGGAGGCGGGGATGCTGCAGGCGATGGCGGAGGAGATGCAGCGCCAGGTGGCGGAGCTGAAGGCGGAGCAGGCGGGGTGGGTGGGGCGCGTGGAGGACATGCGCTTCCGCGTGTCCGCGGAGCTCAAGCAGGCGGAGGGGAAACTGCAGGCGGCGCAGGAGGCGTGGGCGGGGCGGCTGGCGGAGATGCAGGCGCAGGCGGACGCGGGGCGGCTGGCGGACGTGGGGAGATTGGTGGAAATCGAGCGCGAGTGGGAGGGGAAGCTGGCGGAAGTGCGGAAGCACGTGGAGGAGGAGAGGCGGAGGGGTGTAAAGCGGTGCAAAGTGGTGGAGGAAGCTGTAGGCAAGAAGATGGAGGAGAGCCGGCGGGCGGCAGAAGAGGAGCTGGGGAAGGCGCTGCAGGGGGAGGCGGATGCGCGCAAGGCGCAGGCGGAAGCCGCGTCCGCGCGGGTCGCGGAGATCGCCGCGCAAGTGGAGGAATCCGCGCGGCAGGCGGAGGAGGAGCGCAAGCGGAACCTGAAGCGCGCGGCGAAGATTCTCAAGGATTGCACGGGGAAGGCGGAGGCGGTGGAGCAGCGGGTGGCGGAGGCGGAGAAGCGCCTGGACGCGGAGCGCAAGGCGCAGCGCGAGGCGGTTGCGCGAATCCACGCGCAGCTGGAGATGATGGAGGTGGCGTGGGGGAAGCGCGTGGAGCAGACGAAGGCGGAGGTGGCGGAGATGCAGGCGGAGGCGCGCGCGCAGAGGCGGCGGGACGAGGAGGCGCTGGGCGCGGTGAAGGCGGAGTGGGCGGAGTGGGCGGGGGAGCTGCAGACGCAGACGCAGGCGGCGCTGGGGGACGACGCGAAGAAGCTGGAGCTGCTGGACGAGGTGCGGGGGCGGGGGGGAGGGGGGAAGGAGGGGGGAAGGAGGGGGAAGGAGGGGGGAAGGGGGGGCCACAACCGGAGCATCATCTCTTGTCACATTCCCTCAGCATCTCTTTGGTGCTCCCCGCCAATCTCCCTGATTCTCCGACTCCCAGCCCCTTAATGGCTGCTCCTCGCTTGTCCGCTCCTAGCTCTCTACCTGCTCCACTCATCACTCTACCCCGTGCTACTCGATCACGCCGTACCCCTTCCACCCTCCTCTCACGTCCACTTGCACCTCTCCTCCCTGCTCAACCACTCCTTCCCCCTTGCCGCTCACTCATCCCCCTCCCCTCCCCCCCCCCCCCCCCCCGCCCCCCCTTTCTCCCCTTCCACTTACCCCCCTCTCCCCTCCGCCCCCTCCACCCAGGTGGTCCTGCTGCTCTTTTCCTCCCACGTCCGCGCCCAGCTCTCCTCCCTGCGCCAGCGCCTTGACGACACCACACAGACGCATGCAGACAAACTGCGCCACCTCGAGGACCACATCGCCGCCCGCCTCGACGCCACACGCAAGCGGCTGGACGAGGAGCGGCGGGCGGAGGGCGAGCAGCTGCAGCAGTGGGAGCGGCTGTGGGGGGTGGCGGCGGACAGCAAGTGGGGGAGACGGTGGGGGAGAGACACTGGAGGGAGGCAGAGCGGTTGAGAGAGGTGCAGGAGCAGTGGGTAGGGCGTGTGGGGGCGCTGAGGAAGCGAGAGGAGGAGGAGAGGCAGGGCGTTGGGGAGAGGCTGAGGAAACTGGAGGAGCGGCTGGAGAAGGGGGGAGAGGGAGCAGGGGGAGGGGAGGAAGGGGAGAGTGGAAGTGGGGTTGGGAATGGGGGAGGGAGTGGGGGAGGGGGAGGAGGGGGGCTGGCCGCGTGGAGGGAGATGGCAGGGCGGGAGGTGGAGAGGGTGAGGCGGGAGGTGGAGGGGAAGGGGCAGGCGGACGGGGAGAGGGTGGGGGCGATGGAGGGGCAGTGGCGCAGCAGGTGGGAGGAGGTGGAGGCGGCAGCGGAGGCGGACAGGAAGAGGCAGCACTGCACCATCCAGCAGCTCATGGAGGTCAGACGCCATGCCAAGTGTGATCAAGTGCTGTAGGTTCCTGTGGGCTATGGGTCAAGGGGTTGGGCTGGTGCTGATGATGGTGTCTTCCCCATGGGAGAGGTCCGATGCTCGCTGTCATCAGCTGTCATCAGCTGTCATCAGCTGCCATCAGCACTGGTCCTTCCCACCCGCCTCTCGCTTCATGCCTCCATGCCCCTCTGTCCCTTCTATGTTCTACCACATGCTCCACTCTCAATGCTACCACGCAGCCATCCCACACCTACCACAGACGCCTTCCCCCTGACACATACCCCTTCCTCCCACCACCTCCCTACTGCCCTTCAGCCTGAGGTGGAGCGAGTGGTGGCGGTGCGAGCAACCATGGGCCGGTACAGCATGGGCTGGGCGCGGCGCAGCGCAGCACACTGCAATTCTTCCACCGCCCACATCTTTCCCACGTGCCCCCTCCCTCTCCCTCCCACACGCCCCTATCCCACTGGCAGACCGAGGCGGAGCGAGTGGTAGCAGCACGAGCCGCCCTGGACCGCTACGGCATGGGCGTGGTGCAGCGCGGCACGCTGCGCTTCTCCCACCACCCCGACATCCCCGACCGCGATGCCTCTCTCCTGCTGCAGGCACTGCGCCGCTTCCGCCCCCATCTGCTTCCCACCATCACCGCGCTCTCCTTCAGCTGGGGCTCCCCCCCGGGCTGTAAGAACATCACTGGGGAGGCGCTGGAGCACGCTGCCTGCCTGCCGTCGCTCAAGTCGTTGGATCTCCGCTGCTGCGCCGGGCTGACCCCAGACGGGCTGCGCCACATCAGCAAGCTGACTCAGCTGGAGCGGCTAGAGCTGTGCGACGTGCGCGGCGTGACGGACGCGGTGCTTGCACATGTGGCGGAGATGCGGGGCTTGCGGTTTTTGGATGTGAGCGGGTGTGTGGGAGTGACGGATGCAGGCATGCTGCATGTGGCGCGCATGGTGGGGCTGCGGCAGCTGAGGATGACTGGCTGTCCGCAGGTGACCAGCGCTGGGGTGAGCCTGCTGCCAGGCTGTGTGCAGGTCACACGGTGAATGTGAGGGGCGCATGGGATGACATCCATGGGGGGTGGGTGGATGGCGTGCAGGGCTTGCAGGATGCTAAGTGGCACAGCCTACGATGGTGTGGTGTCCAGGGTGCAATGCAGTAGATCAAGAGACCATATAGCTGCGGCTGTTAGCGGGTGTTCCCTCTTCTTGCTGTGATTTCCATATACTTGGAGCTAGGCTTCTCTTTATTGGTACTTTTTCTCGGTTCTGTTTATCTTTGTTTGCTGTTCTTTGGCCTTCAAAAAAAGAGAAGTGCAGTACTTATATCCAAGGGCTATAGGGTAGTACACATGCCTCTGGTTGTGTATCTGACAAGCAATGCAGTCTTGAGCAGCATCGCCCATGAAAAGGGAGACAAGCACGCGGATGTGGGTGACCTGCTGTTTACACAAGCAAGGCTGCAGGTGGGATAACCACCACACAGTGATGATGTTGGTGATCCCAATGGAAACAGTAATTCTCTAAAAACGTAAGTGTAGTGTAACATACTCACAAGTATATCGAGTTGCGGACAACGAAGGCCCACTCTTGCGTTGTGTCATCCACGAGTGTCTTCCAACTTTGCTCACAGAAGGCCCCAAGTCACGTTGGTAAGACATGAGGTCGTCCCTAGATCAGGATGACCTTAGCATCTGACACGACGGAAAAATAAGCCCTGACAACAACCTGCAGGCTGCGGCTCCCCTGCACCCTAGAAGATTTTCTCCGGATTGGTGGAAATTCGGGATTCAGAACTTGTGGTTCTGAGACAGACTCCGCAGGTGGGGTCCGCCAGCACGTGGGAAACAGTACAGAACACTATACAGTGTGTGGGAAAATGCACGAACGAACCCCAATCTATGGAATTGGTGGCTTTGAGAGGGTGACACTTCAATGTTAGGGTGCTCAGCAGCGAGTGTTAGACCCGAGGGTTTAGCGGGAGGATCCGAGGCTGGAAAAAATTGTCTCGGGTCTTACGAAAAAATGACGGTTCCAGCCAGTCAGCTGTCAAAACCGAACTAACTAACAAAGTCGCGCAAATGAACTCCCACCAATCATAACTTCGTAAAGTTCTGGTGGACTCGAAAAGTTCGGCCAGTATAGTCGTAATCCTCCCCTTGCGACAGTTCGCGACTATGCAGCCGCTGCACCGTCAAGAAAAATAAACCCGCGGTTAGGTTGTGACAGCCCGTGACTCCTTCGGCCGCGGGTCGACCTCGGGTCCGACACTCGCTAAGGGGATTCTCCCTTAGTCCTTGCATCCACAACACTTGCGCAGGACAACACTGCCGCTGACAGACACCCGCTGACTCGCGAAACAGGAAGGTTGTGACAATGGTCATCCACGTACCTTCGCTAGAAATGTTTCGTCGGATCAGGACTCAGGAAAGGGAGGAAAGCCGAAGTGAAAATGGGATGGTGGGAACCAGGGCTTATGTTTGGTTTTTGAACAGCTCTGACGCTCAGAGCTCCCTTCAAATTTCACCCTGAAAACCCAGGGTACGAAGCTATACTGCTCTGTTTTTTCAGGGCCAGCCGAAAAAAATGCTCGGCGAGCGCACATTTCCACGGATTTTACTTGAGGTTGTTCCAAGCTCTGTGTCACATTGGATTCGCGTTAGTTCTAGGGGTATGAGGGGAGTACTCCTTCCCAACAAGTTGCCTTGTAGGCAGGTCCTAGAAGAGTGACGGGTGTTAGGAGTGTGCGAGATAAGGGGTGAGGGGAGGGAGGGGCACCGGGGGAGGGAGGGTCCAAGTAGTGGAAAAATCAGGATCACCTGAAAATCTTCTCGGATTTTTCAGGGTCGCCTGACGAACTTCCCGGATTTTGCCAGGACTGGGTTAAAAAACAACCCAGAGAAAATCAGGGATGGTCTGAAAAATACCTTAGAATTTCAGTCAAGTCAGGGAAAATGCCCTGATAACATAAGCCCTGGTGGGAACTGTATGGCTCCTCAAGTCCGATTCCCCATCCATCGTCGGGGTGTTGCCGAGTGCCGAATCCCCCCCCGTCACCACGGGGGTAATCGGGAATCGAAAACATCAACTGTCTGGAAGGGGTAATACTGTACACGCCCATGTCTGGCAGGCATATGCAATCAATTCTTTCACAACAGAAAGACAAGCGGACGATGTGTCCCAGTGGGGCGTCTGCTCCTTTGTCGATTGTCAAAAGCCGTCTGAAGCAAACGTTCAAACTTTTCAAGTCCAGACGTGGAAGTTCTCAGAACTGTACTTGTTTGCTAAAGTTTCGTTTGAGTTCTTGATCCCACTGGATCTCTTTGGTCGGGCTCCTTCATTTCGAGCTGACTGAAATTTTCCAGAAATTACTCTACCTTTCAGTCCCAAGTGAATCTATCCAGACTATTTAACTAAACATCCACATATGAAAGCCGTCTTCCCAAATAGGTCTTAGTGCTATCAATAGTCGTTGGTATTAAGGGCAGTCTTCTGATAGAACCGGATGCTGGGTTACTCGAAAATCCAGCGAAGGGCAATCCGACTTTCACTGTTGTGCTGATGAGTTGATGCGCCGCCAGCCCAGCCACTGTATGTCCATAGTACATGACCCATATCCTGCAGGGTAACGAAAGGAGGTGCCCCTCATTCCCAGGGAAACTATAAAGTGTCAGTTGTGGGGGTGTGTTGAACTCAAGCAGGTTATCCAACCGAACAGAAAAGTGGGGGCTCCATCAAGACAGGGGATGGGCGGGTCATTTTAGAGTCCGCAGGGCCAACGAACTGTTAACATTTTAGAGTACACTGCACAGTGAGTACACTGGGGAGGAGATTGAAATCACTTGTCGGGTCAATCGGCAACCTTGTGCAAAGCCGCCCTGCGTGTCACAGCCGTCTGTTCTGACCGAGTCGCCTTCATTGTTCATGCAGCTTATTCTTGTGGAGGGGTGTTTGAGATGCTTGCGACAACAATATACAGTCGAAGTCCCAGAAGGCCTGAGTTCAGTTCAAGTCTCTTGGACTTGGGGAAGAAGGGGGGCTGTTCCCGCAAAGCCCATTCGGGCTCTTCTGGGCTTCCGCGCCGAATTCCGTCCCCCGCCACAAGACAGGCTGGCAACGTGAACGATTTGCGTGTACAGTTCACCATCACGAACCCAGTGTCGTCTCAAATGCGTGAGTTTCCCCTTCTTTCTAGGTCTAGAAAATCAGAAACGTTTTTGCATGTTCATGGCGAATTCGAACCGACTCCCGGTGGTGGAAATCACGGACTGGCCTGCACGACTTTTTTCATCTCCCAAAGTTTCTTGCGCACGTGGTGATGAAGTTGAAGTGGCTGAGCGGGCCGCCCGTGCGGAAGCAGCTGAGCGGGGCACAGCTGTCCGTTGGACGGCCGGGGAGGGAAGAATGGGAGGTGCTCATCTCGGGTGTAGGGGGACGGCTACCCCGTCCAATCGGGTAACGACGGGCGCACGACGCTTGGCAGTTGGCTGAAGAGTGAGAGCCCCCGCCTCACTGTCTCGTTGAGAGAGATACAGCTGAAGGGTTCTTGTTTTTCTTCCAAACACCCTGCCGAATCAAGGCTGTCAGACAAGCTGTTTCTGTCTCGAAGGGTAGTGTTCATTATCCATGTTCACGTGTCAATACGAATGAAACTCTTTAAATGGTAACCCTTTAATGATCTCTCAAAATCCCCAAGCTCTATTCATGAAGCTATGGCCCATCTTGCCTACGTAACACGGGGACTGCGGTGGGGTTAATGGGCAGCTCATTGTTTGGGTCAAGTATTTGGAAGTGGGTCCATCCAGGTTGCCTTTCGGGAGTATGATATCCTTGGTAATGTTTCAACGGTAGAAGTAGGCATTAATCGACATTTTGAGGTGTATTCTAAATAAAACCCTTTCATATCCGGAGGCGGTCAAGTCTGTCCGAGTAAATACCAAAATGATGTACACGCTACGTTTTCCTGCCAGGCAAAGGACACTTCTGCTCAACCCCAACCACAAGCCCAACTCTGCCCAGTTCATCCTACGCAGTTCCGTCCCCCCTTTCTGCATTCATATGCACTGGCAAGTCATTTCAAAGTCTGACCGCATCATCTTGGCTGAGCTAGCTTCAACTCTTTTCTTACGCTGCTACTTCAGCACTTCTCTTGGTATTGAGACTCCTCACCAATTGAACTGAAAATGTCGACCGCTGTCAGCGGTGATGCGACGGCTTCCGCGCTTGTTTCACCGTGTGTCATCAACGCCAGGAGTGTCGGTTTCGAAAGCCAAATCAACGTTCCTCCGACGCAGCGGCTCCGCTCGTTCTGGAAACCAATCGGCATAAGCTACTGCCAATCATCGTCCGACGAATGCCCTCAATCGCGCAAACTTCCTCCGCCGAATTTGCCGCCGCGTCTCACGCTGAACAGCAGCGATGGCTCCAGCGACTCGTCGTCGGCGCGGCCGGCTGAGCCTCTTCGACTGCCGGCCTCTGTCGCTTTGCAACACGCGCCGAGTGGCGAAACGGCGCCGCATTCCGCCGCGGCTCGGTCGATTGCGCCACAATTGACGGCGCACGATCAGGGAGCGACAGTTCGGGCGATTGATGATGTGGAGCTCTGGCACGCGTGCGCTGGGCCCCTCGTAACGCTCCCAGCCGTCGGATCTGTCGTCGTTTATTTCCCACAAGGCCACGTGGAGCAGCAAGAACGACTGGCTGAGGTGATTAAACGGCATTATGTCACAGATTTACCCAAAATTGTTCACTCCCAATACCATGAATTCCGTTCAGACTGTTCTTTTTTTCAAGGCTTTTGCCCGCACCACTGAATTCCGGAGCTTGTAGTCTCAGTTGTGCCCGGTATACGCGACGCTGACCTCTCAACTGTATTATCCTCTTCGTGAATCTCTGATTTTACCTTTGATCTGTAAATCCACAGGCTAGAAGTGCCTCCTGCGGCTCGCACGACGACGCGCAGCGGCAGAATGACACGCTACAGGCTTCGAACAACGCGGCGGCAACCACGGGCGTATCGGGAACACCAGCAATGCGTCGAGTCAACAGTGGCTCCTCGAGCGGCAGCGGCTGCGCTGCGTGGGACGCCCGCAACCAGAGATCTGGTGATGGTGGTGCTGGGGACGCTACAACAGCCGTGCTGCCCCCGAGCCACATGTTCTGCCGGCTGGAGTCAGTGGCGCTACAGGTAGACGTGGAGACGCACGAGCTGCTCGCCACCATGCAGCTACAGCCCATCCCCGAGGTACGGCAATTGCCGGCCCTTCTGTTTCATTCCCTCTATTCCCCGACACCGTGCCTGCGATGCTCTATTCCCCGACACCGTGCCTGCGATGCTCTATTCCCCGACACCGTGCCTGCGATGCTCTATTCCCCGACACCATGCCTGCGATGCTCTATTCCCCGACACCGTGCCTGCGATGCTCTATTCCCCGACACTGTGCCTGCGATGCTCTATTCCCCGACACCATGCCTGCGATGCTCTATTCCCCGACACCATGCCTGCGATGCTCTATTCCCCGACACCGTGCCTGCGATGCTCTATTCCCCGACACCATGCCTGCGATGCTCTATTCCCCGACACCATGCCTGCGATGCTCTATTCCCCGACACCGTGCCTGCGATGCTCTATTCCCCGACACCGTGCCTGCGATGCTCTATTCCCCGACACCGTGCCTGTGATGCTCTATTCCAGCCCCCAGCGTCTCCACGTGGCTGCTCAGATGTCACTCAAGTGCAGCATTCCCATCGCTCCCTCTGCCCCTCCCTCTGCCCCTTGTGCCCCTCCGTGTTTCTTCCCCCATCTGCCAGGCGGAGGCAGCAGCGGAGCAGGCGCGGCGGGCAGCGGGACAAGGCGCACCTGTGAGCGGCAGGCGGCACGTGTATGTGCGGTCGGAGCAGGAGCGCGTGAGCTGCAAGCGGCTGTCCACGAGCGACACGTCCACCCATGGCGGCTTCTCCATCCCCCGCAAGGCCGCTGAGGCCTGCCTGCCGCAGCTGGTATGCGGCCTCTCACAACCCGGGCTCTCACTCAACATGCCATGGTGATTGCCCACCTGCTCCCTGCGCTCTGCACCGTGTGTGGATGGCTGGCCCTCGGATGCGGTCCCGAGATGTCTACCGTCCTCTAATTCTCCTCTCTACTCCCGTGTGCCTCGTGTGCCCCGTGTGCGTGCCGTGCTTGGGCGTGGCAGGACATGACGCAGTCGGTGCCGTCGCAGCGCATCATGGCGGTGGACGTGCTGGGCAACCAGTGGCTCTTCCGCCACGTGTACCGCGGCACGCCCAAGCGCCACCTGCTCACTACCGGCTGGAGCGCCCTCTCCGCCACCTGGGGGCTCGCTGCAGGCGACCGCATCGTCTTCCTCAGGTGCGCCCAGGTGTTTCTTTGTTAGCACCCAGGTGTTTCTTCAGGCGCGCCCAGGTGTTTCTTCAGTCACGCTCAGCAAGTGGTTCCTTTGGCTGCAACGCAGCGTGGTGCTCAGGTGCTTTGCTCGTTCCCCGCGTGCCGTGTGCCACTCTCTGAAGCGGCAGAGATGGCCCACATGCCCTGCGCTGCACTGCGCTGCACTGCCCTGCGCTGCCCTGCGCTGCGCTGCTCTGCATTCTCACCGTGCTCCACTCTCCCCCCCTCTCTCTCTCCTCTCCCCGCAGGAACCGCCAAGGTGTGCTCAAGGTGGCGGTGCGGCGCAGCGAAGCGTCCATGGCGGCGCTTCTGGCGCAGCGACATGCTCAGAGGCAAGCACAAGCGCACGCCCTGCAGCCTACCGTGCAGGCGGCGTCCTCCGATGCCCCTTCAGCGTGCCCTGACGTACTCTCTGCGGATGCTGTGCTGGGCGCCGCTGCTCGCAGCTACAGCCACAGGACACCCCTCTCTGTCACCTTCCACCCATGGTGAGTCAGCTTCCACCCATGGTGAGTCACCTTCCACCCATGGTGAATCAGCTTCCACCCATGGTGAATCAGCTTGCACCCATGGTGAGTCAGCATTTACCCATGGTGAGTCACCTTCCACCCATGGTATGTGTTGGTCGCTGAGTCACTTCTAATGAGTCTGATGCCTTCCCCTGTTCCATCCTGCTCACCTCAACTCAACCGTGCCTTCCGCCACTTCCCCTCTCCCTCTCCCCCTTCCCCAATCCCCCATCCCAGGGCATCCGCCTCATCGCCCTTCGTCATCCCTTTGCCTGACTTCACGCGCGGGCTGCACCTCAAGGCGTCGCTGCATCCGGGCAGCGAGGTGCGCCTCACTCTCGAGACCGACGACCTCGCCACGCGCCGCCTGCGCGGCTCCGTCGTCTCGCTGCACCAATCACCCACTGCCACGTGGCCCTCCTCGCCCTGGTGCTCAATCAAGGTATGCTGCCTTCTCATCCGGTGGCTCAATGATGGGTGCACCCATTGCTGCGAGTGCACGTCCCGAATCACGCTCCTCGACACCAACCCACACGCTCTGCACTCTGTCTCCTTTCTCTGTACCCTCACCCGCTCTCTCATTCTCTTCCATCACCTCCGTCTCACACTCTCTCTTGTCTTTGCCCCTCCCCCAGGTCAAGTGGGGCGACCCCGACTCGTCCTTCCCCAAGCCCACGCACCTCTCCCCCTGGCTGCTCGACGACGCCCTCTCGCCCACCCCGCCCTCGCTGCTCTACGCGCCCACCGCTTTCGCCTCCGCTCCCCCATCCACCACCTTTGCTGCCGGTGCCATGTTCCCCCCGCACTCGCCTCCCCGCGCCCCCTCCCTCTCCCTGCCGCCTCCTCACTGCGCTGCTGCTGTGGCCCAGCCATCTCGTGCTGGGAGTCATGGGCAGTGGGCTCAAGGGAATCAGTCCCAGTGGTCGCAGCACCACCAGACTCATCATCATCATCAGCAGCAGCAGCAGCAGCAGCAGCAGCAGCAGCAGCAGCAGCAGCAGCAGCAACTCTCCTTGTCAGCTCCTCCACCTGCTGCTGCTCCTTCGCCTGCCCATGTGCCCACGCCATGCTCTGCTGCTACCCTTGCTGGTCCCCGTGCTGCAGGGCAGCACCACAGCGAGTGCTGGGAGGCGACGCCCCTTCACCCCTCTGCTGCCCTCGCCCCCTCCCTTGGCCCTCTCACCGCCTTCCAACCTCACTCCTCCCTCCCTCCCGGGCCCCTGTTTTCCGAACCTGACCTCGCCGAACCTGAGGAGATGGTTTGGTCGCGAGTGGAGCCTGCGATGGAGCACAGCAGATCTCTGGAGTCCGCTACAACTGCTAATACCATCGGTGTTACAGCTGTTGCGGGCAGTGCTGCTGCGTTTGGCGCTTGGGCGGCCATCCCTCGAACCTTCACTGCTCCTGGTGGCTTCACTGCTGCTGCTGATGATACTGCCGGTGCTCCTGCTGCTCCTGCTGCAGCTGCTGCAAGGCTGGGAGGACTTGTGGGGGGGGATGGCGCATTGCAGCTGGGACTCTCCCTCTCGCTCTCCTCCACGGTCTCGCCTCTCTCCTTCCACTCCCCGTGTCACAAGCGGCGCCGCGTGTCGGGCCTGGCCATGCCGCTGCTGCGCCACGCCTGCCACTCCGAGTCCGACGTGCGCCACCAGCTGGAGGCTGAAAGGGACCACGGCATGCATCTCATCCGCTCACCTGCTGCTACCGCTGCTGCTGTGGGAGCAGGTGGTGGGGCTGGCAGCCTCTTCACGCTGCCCTCCTCTCCCAGCTCTGCCAGTGGTGGCAGCGGTGGCAGTGGCGGCAGCCCCAGGCGCAGCAGCCACGACATGGGGCGCGCTGCCATGGAGGAGAGGGCGACTCGTGCTGACCAGCATGCAGCAGCACCTGGGCAGGTCGCTGAGCAGCAGGCAGCGTCCCCGTCCAAGTGCCGGGCATCGCCGTGCCGGCTGTCGCCGTCACCATCCAGGGCCGCGCACCAGAGGCGCATCAAGGTGAGGCGCCTGCTCCTGCTAGCTGTGCCCATTCGAGGCTGTCCCAGGCTTTCCCCAGAAGCTCCCTGCTTGTTTTCTCCCCCTCTCCTCCACCCATCTCCCCAAACCCCAACCCCCCCCTTACTTGCACTCACCTTCCCACCTCTCCTTCCCTATTCTCCTTCCCTCTTGCTCTCGCCTCCCCCCCTCTCCCGTGCTTCCAATCCCCTCAGCTTCGAGTGGAGGGCAGCCCGGTGGGGCGTACGGTGGATCTGAGTGGGCTGGGCGGCTTCCAATCGCTGTACGCCATGTGTGCAGCCATGCTGCAGCTGCCCCTGCAGCAGCCGGGGCAGCCCACATCGCCCTCAGCGCCCTCAGCACCTGGTTCGAGTCCCTCAGCCTCCAGTGCGTGGCAGCTGACCTACACCGACTCTGACGGAGACACCCTCCTCGTGGGGGACGGGCCCTGGAGGTCAGCCCCCTACCAATGCACGCCATGCTTGCTCTTCTCAAGCACTAAAGCTTGTCGTATTCCTCCCCCACCCCTCTCTCGTATCCCCACCCCCTCCCCCTTAATGCTCTGCTTCCCCTTCACATTCCTGATTGTCTTTCCTTTGCTCTTTCGTCGCTCTACATCCACCTCACATCGATTTCCTCTCTGCGATGTCTCGACTGGCAGTGTATTTCTGGAGCACGTTCGAGCACTCACTGCCATGAAGGTTCCAGTGTGACCACTCCCAAGGGAGACGCTAGCATCACTGGAATGGCGAGGAAACAGGGAGTCTCTTGCACGTTTTTCTTCGGGGCAATCTCGACAATACAAAGAAGCATCAACACAATACCTTGTTGCATTGGGTTTCTTATGTGTAGGCATGTTTGATCAATCTTTCATCGATTGGTTCGTTTGCCGTGATTTAATATGTGATTTTGTTCTCTGTACTTAGCTTTTATCGAATGTGTTGGAAATACCTCGAGGACTTACCGTAATCCCCCGGATATAACACCCGCCGAAATTAAGCACCCCCTGGTGTTATATCCGGGGAGGGTGTTCTATTGAAGAATCCGTAATTATACACCCTCTTTTTGAGGGTTCCAGGAGAGCACCCCCCCATTACATTCGAACCCTTCTACCCCTAACAATACCAGCAACAAATGTAGTTTTTTCATGCTATTTCATGCTGATTACGACCAGGACGCAAAAGTTGAAATTTTCCGAGGCACTTGACGAGGTTCTCTGGTACTGAAAATGACAAAGTGAAACAAATCTTCACCTGGAAAAGCACAGTGGGCCGACAATTTTTGTTTCAATTGTGCGACAGACCTGTGCTGATTGGCTGATGAGCGTCGCAATTTTCGTCCAGTCCATTGCGAGTGTCGCCAACCCTCCAATCTCGCTTCACTAACCTAACACAAACCTGAAATTCGTAAGCAAGTGGGCAATCCGGGGCTATTCCGGACCTCGAGAAAACGTACGCCTTCTCAGCCGGAATTTGAATGGCTGAAATCGCCATGACGCACTGAATCTAATGCATATCTTAAAAATTCTGTCCTCAAATATGTTGGAAATATCTCAAGGACTTAAGCGTTTCTGAAGTGTAACACTGTACTCGAGGAAGATTACAGGGGAGCACGCGAGTCAACGGAGGTTACACGAGGGGGCGGACAAAGAATGCGAAAGGACTCGAAAGGTCGCAACTGGAGGTTGCGACTGACCGTTACAACATCACGGATGGTAACCGAAGCGGCAATCGAGTCGCTGTGCGACTCGATAAACCGTTCCTGTAACTGTATTCTACAACTGCTTTCTTATCTTCTATATATTGCTGTATGCTTGTTTCTTTAATCAATCACTTGTTCTCACATACTAGTACAAGGGTTCAACTGCCTCAACTTCCGCTGCACTACTCCAAGTCTCAAGTCTCTACAGCTGGGACTTAGTCTCTGCAAAAGATCCTAAGGGCTTTTTTCAGCCCAACATGGTATGAGAGCTGGTCAGAGACCAAACTCCCAGCAACTACGTCGTATCAACAACCTGCAACTCAACTCAATTCAACGACTTCATTGATTACAAGACATGGACAACAAGGGCAAGAAAGTCTCTACGGGCTCACCCAGCGCCCAAGAAACTCAACACGGCAACTCTGGTCTGCACACCTCAGGACTGCAGACAGAGACCGGGACTGCTCAAGAAACAACGGGAAGAGTACCAGAGATGGTGACCCCGTCTCCCTCTTCAAGTGTGGACCCGAATCTCATGGAGAGATTCTTCAGCTTCATGTCACACTTCGATCAGCAGCAGCAGACAAGGACACCTGCGCCACTTACACGTGATCAAACTTCAGACATCCTCACCGTTCAACGGACACGACTTCTTTACCTGGAGCTTCGAGTTCGAGCTGCTGATGGAGGCCGCGCATCTTCTGGGATACTTCAACGGGTCCCTGCCATTCCCAAGCAACGGCACTGGGAAGGAACAAGAAATCTTCACGTATCAGTCGCTGCTGGCGTATACGGTACTCCTGAGAAACCTGTCACCACAAGAGCAGCAGAGCATCAGAACGTATCGAAGTTATGGAAACTCCGCGGAACTCGCATGGCATCATCTCAAGTGCCTCTATCAAGCAAACGACAGCGTGACACAAAGCAGACTCATGCAACAGCTGACAACAATACAGATGAAGACCGGGGAAAAGGCGATGCAGTATATGAGTCGCTGCCAGACCCTCCGCGACCGCCTGCTTCGGTGCGGAGGAACGATCACTGAAGAAAGCTTCGTGACACTTGTCCTCGCCGGGCTCGGGCCAGAATGGAGAACCACACGATCACTTCTTCGAGCCCACGGAAGAATTTCGGAGATGCACCTCTGCGCCGAGCTTCACGCTGAACAACAGGAGATGGATCTGTTCGAGGAAAGACAACCAAGGAAGCAACAGCAGTTAGTCTTCTACACTCAAAGAAGAAATGACAACAACTACAACCGACGCAGCAAGCAAGATCAACATGACAACCGAGGACTCACCATCGTGCCGCCGTTCTGCCACAACTGTCAGACTTCCGGGCACTCCAAGGTCAACTGCAACCGCCCTCGCGTTTACCGTGCAGCAGACCCACAAGTCGCTTCCACTCAAGCAAGTCCTCCAAGGCGCTCTTCAACATCTGCACAACAAACACCCAACATCATCAACTGCATGGTACACATCGACAACTGCGCACCCGCTTCACCACCCACTTACGCACCAGACGAAGAGGAATTCCCGCCGCCGCGCTCGCAAGGACTTCAGGTCAACCCGACATACGCTGCAGTCGCTAACGCCGAACCCACCGGGCGGAACACCTGGTTCTTGGACAGTTGCTGCGGTCAGCACATGTGCTCCTCCGGACGCTTCGTACAACACGAGCGACGCCTCAACCGTGACGTCGTCATCACCGTCGCCAACAACGAAAACCTGAAAACAAATAGACAAGGCGTGGTTCAGTTACAATCAATGGAGACAAACGTTATTCTTCAGCTCAACAAGGTCCTCATCGTCGACAATCTGGGATACAACCTATTAAGCGTAAGCCAACTAATGGCTAAGGGGATTCACCTGGAGTGCGACTCCTTCTCCAACGAGTTCCGACTTTACCACGGGAAGGGCGGTCTCTTCATCGGTCGTGCCCTCCTGAAGTCCGGTGTCTTCGTGTTGGACTTCGTCCCCGACCGCGGAACTGCCGACAGCGATGGCATCGTATCGTTCGCCGCCTGGACTCACCCACCAGATCTTGATCCCGACTTCGACAGTGACGGCTTCTGGCACTCCAACACCATACCTGCAGCAGAGAGAACACGGGCATTAGCAGTTATCAGACAAGAAAGACAAGTACCAGCAAGCGTCCCAACAAAACCATCACCTGCAGTATCGGCAGCAGGACCCAGCCGAGTACCACCACCAGCGACACGAGGACAGCCAACCGAAGCAGACCAACTTATGCCCGCCACACGAGAAGCTTGTCGAAGTCCCGCCTCGGTCGTCGCGTTCTTCTCCAACGCCGACATCTACCACCGCTCGCCCGGTCACCGCGCTCCCGACGACATCTGGCACCAACGTCTCGGACATCCTGCAAACAGCACGATACTTCAAACAATCCAAGCAGAAGTGTTAGAACGCAACGCCCTTCTGACGACGAGCGGCCAGGAACTCCGACGACCACGCGCACGATGCTTCACGTGCCCCGAAGCAGATCTTCCTCATCAACCTTTCCCAGCCCATCACAATCCAAGCGCACCCACTTACGCTCCGATGGAAAAGGTCTACAGCGATATTCTAAACATGCCTCGAGACGACACCGAAGCCGACTTCAACTACGTCATCACGTTCATCGACGCCGCAACCAGATACGTCTGGCACTTCAATCTCAAAACGCGCGATCAAGCCTTCGAGGCCTTCACCACATGGCTTCCAATCGCCGAACGAGAGTCAGGAACCAAACTCAAGAGTTTCCAGTCAGACGGTGCACTGGAATACCAGTCACAACGCTTCAGGACCTATCTCGCGGAAAGGGGAATCCGACGCCTGGTGTCTCTGCCCTATGCTCACCAGCAGCAGGGGGTAGCAGAACGCATGAACCGGACCTTGCAGACGACGATGCGAAAACTGCTTCTGGGGATGAGGCTGCCCAACGCACTGTGGCCAGACGCGATGACACATGCAGTCCACCTGCACAACCTGTTGTCCTCGTCATCGCTCCCCAACAACGCATCACCACACCTGCTGTGGACGGGAAAAAGGGGCAGCACAAAATTACTTCGAGTTTTCGGCTGCATGGTACAATACAGACCCCACACAGCTCGAGCAGGACGCTTCACTCAACGAGCTCGGTGGGGACTACACCTCGGCATCGCCAAACATTTTCACGCGTGGAAGATTCTCGACATACACGACAAAAATACGGTGGCATCACGTGATGTTATCTTCTACGAGCGACTGACGCTGCAGCATTACCTGGACAACATTGCCAACTCAGACGACCCCACCGACGGCTTCGCGGGCCTTCGCTCCTTCGCTGACCATGCTGCCGAGGCTGACGCAGCAGAAGAAGACGTCCCTGGAGCCTCGGAGGCTGCCGGACCACTCCCCTACTGCTCCGTACCTGTTCCACTCGATGAAGATAATCCCCTCGATAGCAACAACCTCGACACCTTTTACCACTTCGCTGACCAAGGCTACGCTACACCACACCCCGTCGACTCGAATATTTCCGAACGCATCGGGCCAAACTTCTTACCCGATCCTGAAGACGGTGATGAAGCAGCTTATCCCGAGAATGAAAACTCCCCTCGACACACAGCCACGGGACTGCAGATCCTAGGACTATGGGTCTCCGTCCAGCACCCGCCGCCGCCTTCTCCGCGCGAGCCGTCGACCCTGTCGCAGGCTCTGGGGGGGGAACATAAGGCACAATGGAAGGAAGCGATGGAAAAAGAGTTAAAAGCTCTGCAAGACCGAGAAACATGGAAACTGGTACCTGCAACGAGCATCAACGGGAAGAACATTCTCTCGGGGAAATGGGTGTACCGCATCAAGACCAACTCAGACGGCTCCATCGAACGATTCAAAGCTCGATGGGTCGTACGAGGCTTCGATCAACGATACGGAACCGACTACACAGAAACCTTCGCTCCAGTCTCCCGTCACACCTCTCTGCGCATCCTACTCGCCATCGCGGCCACGAAGAAACTACCACTACGGCAAATCGACGTTGCGAACGCCTTCTTGTACGCACCTGTGGACGCCGAAATCTTCGTCGAACAACCCCACGGATTCATCGACGACCCTTCAAAAGTATGCCAGCTGGAAAAATCCCTTTACGGGATCAAGCAAGCCCCACGGCTCTGGCAGCAGCACCTTCACGGCCGGCTCGTAAAAATCGGATTCCTACAGCTACCACATGACCAAGGCATGTACCGACTACAGAAGGGAAGAGATTACATTCTGCTC